CTGGAGGAACCTCACTGTTTGCACTTGGAGTTGAGGGGCATCCTGCCCTTGAGCCCCCATCCTTTATTTTGTTTGTTTGTTTCGAGACAGAGTCTCATTCTGCTGCCCAGGCTGGAGTGCAGTGACACAATCTCGGCTCACTGCAACCTCCGCCTCCCGGGTTCTCCTGCCCCAGCCTCCCAAGTAGCTGGGATTACAGGCGCCTGCCGCCATACCAGGCTAATTTTTATATTTTTAGTAGAGACGGGGTTTCACTATGTTGGCCAGGCTGGTCTTGAACTCCTGACCTCAGGTGATCTGCCCGCTCAGCCTCCCACAGTGCTGGGATTACAGGCGTGAGCCCCTGCGCCTAACGGAGCCCCTCATCTTACTGCTGCAGGAAGGAATGTAATTCCCTGGCTTGGCCATGGCCACGGCCACTGTACAGGGTGGCAGGACAGGGACATCTGCTCAGGGTTTCTGTGTTTCTATGTCACCCCTCCCACCCCAGTAACTGAATTCTGGGGAGCTGTGGCCCAAGGAGGGAAAGGGGCAGCATCTTTTCTCCTTGATTAGGGGGCTTTCTGGAGCCGGGGGAGAAAACAGGCAGGCATCTGGCAGGGCCATGATGGGAGCCCACGACTCCAGCTTCCCTGGGGAGCAGGGTGAAGTGCTCAGGGATGCAGGGAGAAGGGAAGTCAACTTTCCCTCCTGGACGATGCAAAAAGGAGACAGAAGGGAAAACTGAGGAGGGAGTGTCAGGTGGCCACTTGCCTCCAGAGGCTGCAAGATGGGGGCCTTTCTTCCTGTAGCATTCCTGGAAGGTTTGCCCAGGGTCCACATGTTCCCAGGCATCCTGGCTGCTGAGCCTGTGGGTACGTGGAGGCTCTCACTAACAGGCCAGCTGATGCCAGCAGTGCCACTTCTAAAATGGGCAGGGGATGCATTAGCCTCCAGGCCAGACTGCAGACAGTTGGGACATGCAAGAACAGTGCAGAAGAAAACAGAAGACTTAGTGCCTCCACCTGGGGAATGAGAGGGGTGAGGGCATGTGAGGATCAGGTGGATTAAAACATGTCAGGTGTCTAGCAGCATGTGGCCGATAGAAGTGCTAAAAAGTGCTACTTAGCATTCATCATTATTATTAAGTATTATCATGAACGTTTCTCCTTATGGAGAAAGCTTTGTGTAAACCACTTACTATTAATTATTGTTAATTATTATCAATGTTCTCTCTCCTTGGACACGGCTCTATGTCTCTTGTTTCTGTTACCTTCACCTTGGCATCTCCCACACCTACATCTACTGGCTCAATTAACACTTAATAAATGTTATTTTTCAAAAACATTCATTTAAATACATCTCAGTAAAATGAACCATTCAAAACGGGAGGATACTGATAAAGTAAAATGAGATCATGCCAAGCAACTAAATTGCTTTTTTAAAAAAAAGATTAAAGTAGCAGCTCAAAATCATCACAAAAACCTGGCTTTTTTCTCTTGTCAACAACTGGACCATGACTAAAAATAAAACCCCCCAAATTCAATGCTTGGGTATATTTTATGACTGGGATTCAGCTTTTATTTAATTTCTCTTCTTAAAAAATATGTTGTTTTTGGTTAAGATGAGCATAACTTAGTTTTACATAACTAAAAGTAAACAGACACCAGTGGGTTTTCCTGGAAAGGGCCCAGAACTCGGGCATGGCTAGACGCTGGTTCTCGTTGGTTCCAGGTTGGAGAGCCCCCAAAACCAGCCCTGAGAGATGGGTGTTTAATGTGACCTGAGATCTCCAGCCTCCACCATTTAGTGGCTTGGCTCGTTTCTGGCTACGTGGCCTTGGGAATT